AAAAAAAAAAAAAAAAAAAAAAAAAAAAAGAATGAAGCCAAGGACAGAAGAGGTAGGGTGCAAGCTCATTTATTTAAAAGATATAAAGGCATGAAAGTAAAAGATTAAAAGGCAAGAGAGAAAAGTTCCCACTGGCTGGGAAGGTGTTCTGCAGAGGATATCCATGAGAACACATTGTCTAGGGTTGTAGTGGTGAACCTATGGCACATGTGTCACAGCGGGCTCTCTGGATTGACAGCTCTAAAAAATTTGCCATCACTGGCCTAAGAGTTTTTAAGAAATTTAGAAGGGAGCTCAGGCCATTGTGTAAGAATATAATCTCTACTCTTTAGGAGACTACATATTTTTGGGGGGTGCAATCTAAGAAAGTGTTCATGCAGTATCTGTTCAGGACCCATGTGCCCTTGAACCAGTGGCCTGCTTGGTCATGTCCTGGGGAGGTCCCAGGCAGCTGAAGGACACCTGGCAGATGTTTTTGTAAGGCCCCTGCTGGGTCATGACTGCATCTCCAAATTGGGGTTCCTTGACTCCATTGTGGTCCTCACTACTAATAGAATCCCTGTCTCACTACCAGTAATTCCTATTATGTTCCACTCTGAAGAGGTGTCCCTGTCATGAGGGAAAAGGGATGAAGACTCCTTTGGCTGCTTTGAGTGTACAGGGCTGGTGAGACGGGGTCAGCTGCCAGTAGCATCTTCCAGAGGGCTTGTCTAATGGTTTCTCATAGAAACCAGGTGGGATCTCTAGGTGGGTTCTTTCTGCATAACCATCTAAAGTTGAATAGACTCTTAAGTGAGAGGCAAATCAAACAAGATTTGAGTAAACAGAGTCCAGAAACTAGGAGAAGTAGCAAGAGCATCAGTACTGATATGAAGGGTCTTACAAGGGTCCAGGCCTACCCCCATAGGGATTTAATGAGGAGCTCTTGAACCTCCACTGGGCAAGAGACTATTTTAGGAAGGAGCCCAGGTTAAAGATGAGTCCAGACATTGGGAAGGTGGATTGTTTAAAGAATTAGATGCCATGGAAATCACTGGAATCAGTGCATCTTCCCCTCCATGAGAAAGGCAGAGAGTGTGATGCAAGAGCTTTTTACAGAGGAAATAAGAGGACAGTTCCTGTTAGGGAGACAGCAGTAGTCTTGCCCTCTAGTCAGGCAAACTTAAAGGTAGATTGTAAGTCTCAGTGGGGGAGATGCTGGGGTCCCATGATGACCATGAGCCTATGGAGGAAGGTGTAGTTCCAGAAAACCGGTCATCTATGCACAGAGCAGGGTCTTTAATGGTGTGATTGTGCAGTGCTTGACATGAGAAAAGAAAACCTAGAGAGAAGGTAATGTCTTACTGAATACAAGGCCCAAACACTGGGTGACATAACCCCAGGTATGATTATTGGTGTCATTTAGTTTTAACATGGATTCTGTCCATGTTCCTGAATAGTTATGGTGTTTCTCCACCAAAGGAGGAGTGAAAGAAGTTGAGATACTTGAAGTACCATCACTGTTCTCTTCCAGGTTCCCACTTCTAATATATTGGAAGAAGACATTACAGAGGGAGAGTCCCAGGAACCCCAGTATGGGTCCCTGTGCCTTCAAGGTTAGAGAAGCAATAAGAAGGCTTAAGAAGTAGGGCTGTAACCTGTCCTATAAACTGAGAATTTTTTTCCTAGGAGAGTATTTTTCCATTGGGGAATTGAGGCTGAGGTCTATCTCACAAAGGGTAAGAGGACCAGTGGTGTAAAAGAAGGTCATAATGGTGTTTTTTCAGGATCTGAGGGTCAAAGGAGTGTTTTGAGAAAGCATGCCAGAGGGGTAATGGGAGCTGAGCCTGAGCTCCCCATTTTTCTGATAAATGTCAAGAGGAAAGAAGGTGTTCCTTGCTTTCCCTATTCAAGTAACTCTCCAGCCAAGGCATCCCTTGGCCACCGGTAAAGTCATAGTTGCTACTGGCTATAATCAAGAATCAAGAGGGGGCAAAGCTACTAGATTAGTTGCTCTGACCTGTGTGCTGACTGGTGTGCCCTTTGGTCTCTCTTGTGTTCCTGAAGCTTTTGGTTGTGACAAGAATTTGAACTTCTTTACCCAAAGAAATTGAAATACTTCTGTAACTGAAATTTAAGATCAACTGTTAGACCCTCTTTTGTGCATGAAGGCTAAAGTGGGGCAGGGTCCTAGCAGCCCTGACACTGGGCAGAACTGATTAAGCATTCTTTTTAGAGCCATATTTGCCATCAAAATGGAAATAAAATCAGAAATTTTAAGTAGACTTTGTGGTCGTTTGCGTATGAGGCTGTTGCTAGCATGTGCCTCTTTGTCTCCATCTAAGAAGACAGAAAAGTATACTAGCTATAGTGTCCCTTGGCCTTAAATCCCCAGCACAAGAGAAAATAAAGGACCATTGTTGACCATCAGACCAGACAGGGGAGTTGGGACCTGAGGAGGAGAGACTGATGAATTATGAGTCAGTCTTACAGCCCTTTGGTCACCTTTGAGCAAGAAGGGGGTTTGGAAGGAACAGTCCAGGCTCAACCAAACCAACAAGAGCAAAAACTTAAATAACCAAACACATCTATTTCTTTTCATAAACTTCATTCCCTGCAAACATTTCTTGACATAACTTGAACCTCCTAGTTTTGCTGCTGTCTTTTCTTTTTCCATCCTAGTAGGGCAAAACCTTCATCATATAAAATCTCATACCAGAAGTATATCTTCATACTTAAACTTACTTTGTATTTCCTTCTCTATCCTTATTGGTTTCTTTCTGTAACAAGCCTAGTAGCTACTTGGATGTGTCTTTAGTATACATTTTCCCCCCTAGGTCTCAGAGTGAGTTAATACATGTTTACATTCTAATTAGGATTGGCTGCCAAAGTGGACCTCCAAGTGGCCTTGCATAGCATCTTTATCTTAGCCCAAGCAGAAGGCAGCAGAAGTTAACCCTGTAATTGCAGTTTCAAAACTATCCCACTGCTCAAGAGATGTTTTAAGCATATCAGTTAAAACAAAAAATATGAACTCAAGTTGGAAGCTGAAAATAAATATCATTCAAGATTTGCCTCAGTGAGCTGTTTTATATATTTAATTAATTAATTTATTTATTATTTATTTTTTACTATATGTTTGCAGAACAGAATAATGTCTCAGTGGGCTGTCGTTAACTCATTGAAAGTTGTTAGGAAGACTTGGTCTCTCCTTTGGTATTCCTAGAAAGGCATTAACCTCAACTTTATAATCCATTAGGAGTCATTTAAGACCTTATTTCCCATCAACCTCAGAAATGAAAATTGTAGCCTTTGCCTGACATTTTTGGAGGCTGGGTGAGCAATTTAGCAGGTGGAAGCAGTACAGGAGTTTGAGCAAGAAGAATGTGACTCAGCAGGAAGACCAAGGACTATAGGCAAGACCCCCAGAATTCAGAAGCAACACATTTAGGGTGTAGGAAAAGATATACCACAGAGTATTTTATCCTTTCATTGCACAATCATAAAACAAATGTAACAGACCCAAGAGCACCACGGACAGAGATCATTTCCTCCCAGTGGAAGGATCCAATCTGGAAGGAAAACCAAGGTGCGACTGGGCACCAGTCCATCCATTCGTGTTAGGGGTTCGGCTCAGCCCACGATCAGTGAAACCTATCTCCCAAACCTTCAAGATCAAAGACCTTGCTAACTACCTTCAACTGGTTGCTGGGGTCCTGATACTGTTTTGAGCAGAAAGCTGAACTCACTTCAGCTGCAGAGGTAAGGGCTTGCCACAAGAGAAGTGAGGAGACATCAGTTTCACCTGCCTCTTTTTCTGCACCTCTGTGACCAGAGCAGCAGTCAGTGATGATCAGACAGAAGATCTGATATTTGGAGGACAGGGATCCTACCTTAGCTTCTGTATCTGTGTGTAAGCTGCTGCAGGAGCAAGTGCATGTTTCCTGCCGTGGGCTGCCAGGTGAGGGATGGAGTAGCTACTGCGCTGCTAAGGGCTGAAATTGATCAAAATGAACTTCAAAGGGCTATGAATATAGCTCCCTGTAGATCAATTGCTTAGCACATTCAAGGCCCTGGTCTGATTCCCAGCACCAGAAAAAACAAATTTCATTTTATAGCCCATGCTTTGCCCTGGAGGTTGCAAGCCTTCAGTGGACACTAGTTTCTCGGGTACTATCATCAGATGGATTCTGCCAGTGCATTTATTTAGGGAGGAGACAGATCTCTGGTGCTTCCTACTCTATCATTTTTTTTTTTGAATAACCAAGTTTGAACTCTGGAACTTGGGCTTATGAGGCAGATGGCAGCCCTACTCAGCTAAATCCCCAGCCCTGCCATCTTAAAAACCTCTCCAGTTCTTTTGCTGTGAGGGGATTTATTGGTAAATTGGTTCACCACTTTCCCTGTTGCCTATTTAGAATTCATTTTTCTCAGGTCCTCTAAGGTCATTATTACTTTTCTGCCAACTTTCAGGTATTCAAAGTTGTATTGTTCTTTCCATTCTCCCTGGCCTTGTTGGTTCATACCTTTATTAAAGTATCAACTACCTTTATATTTATTTTAGTGAGTTTGTGAAGGGCACAAAGATAGATGAGTGTGTTCATTCTTTATCCAGAGTCTCATCTCTTTATGTGTACTTACCTCTTTCGACTAGTCTGCAAACTCTTTGTTTTAGCTTGAGTTAGGGATATGACTTGGTATATCTCTTTCAGCAGCTAACTTACTGTTTTCCACGTATGGTGGCATAATCTGTTTGACTTAAGGCAGTGCTGCTTAGTAATATGTATAACATAATAATTCTAAGGCAGTTATTAATGTTTGTGCCCTACAGCAGCCCTGCATATATCCCTGTATTAATTCCTGTTTTGCATATTGAGAACGATTGATATTCTAGCTACTTTAGATATATATGCATACTAAAGTATAGTATAGCACTGAGTATATATATTGAGTACTGGAATACCGAGGTAGTGCTTCATAGTGTAAAAAATGTCTAGGGATATCTTAGAGTAGCAATCACTGATATCTAGAATGAAGATGGAGAATGAGAAAGAGCTACTCCTGTCGGAAAGCCACTTTTAATATTTAATTTATCCTCCTTTCGTTCCTTTTTCCTTCTGTTAATTAACATACTTTCATCAAAGAAACACTTAGCAAACTTTTTCTAATCTGATGTCCTTTGTAGTAGCTCATGCAAATTAATTATTTAATGTTCAATTTTTTATGAACTTTTTTAAGCTATTAAAATAGTACATACTTTCAAGTTCAGCCTGGATACTAAATGAAAGTTAGTACTTTGACAGTTTGTGTTCTGGGTAGCTAAGTCAGGGCACAAATATGTATCTATTAATTATCTTGTTTTTCCAGTCCTAACAGGGGTTTTACAGAAATGCACTGTATGAGTGGCCACTCTAATTTTGTTTCTTGTGTATGCATCATACCTTCAAGTGACATATACCCTCATGGACTAATTGCCACTGGAGGAAATGACCACAATATTTGCATTTTCTCACTGGACAGTCCAATGCCACTTTATATTTTAAAAGGTCATAAAGATACAGGTGAGTATAACACTTTGATATTTTTCTATCTGAAAAAGTTTCTTTTCTTTGAAAGTAAAATTTGCATACCCATTTTCTCAGATTTTTTTAGTACGTTTTGTTTTACCTATGCCTATGGCTTGATAGTGAAAAAATGTTTTCAGATCATCTTAGTTCTGTAAATTTTGTCACAGATTGTCTTAGTTACTTTTCTCATTGCTGAGACAAAGTACTTGACATCCAAAGTTAGAGGAGAGGTTTATTTAGTTCACAGCTTGTGGAAGTTTTAGTCTTTACTTGGCTTGCTCCAAGGCAGAGGGAACGCAGAGAAGAAACAGTTTATCATGGGCAGAAGATAGCAAAGCAGCCAAGCAAGGGGACTGTAACAGTGTCTTTCTGCACCTTTTATCCAGACTACGACTGGTGCTGGAGATTGAACCCAGGGCTTTGCACATACTGGGCAAGTCTTCTGACACAGAGCTACATCCCAATCCTATATGTAGGATTATAAAAGTTATAAAAGAAAGAGGCTGTAAAATTTTAAAACACTTCATAATTTCAGTTTTGTGCAATGAGGTTTACTCAGGAAAATGAAGGCTATCTGTTTATCTTTTGACTTTCATTTCTGTATTTATGCAGCAAATTATGAAGACCCAGAAGAAATATGTTCAGGATTTGGTATCATTATTTAAAATATTTAATACTTTGGAATATCATTTTCCATGATTTGTATATGATCCTGATTCTGTAATAATTCTGGATTTGTATGTGACTTAACAGATCTTTTATAAAATGACATGATTAATCTGTGTAGTTATATATTATATATATCAGAAGTAGTCATAGATAATACACAAATGATAAATCTTAAAAGCTTTTAAATCTTTATGGACTCTGAAATTTTAATTTCATATTTTCACATGTCAAGGAATTTTTAATTTTTTTACTCAACCACTTAAAAATATTTAAAAAATTGTTTTTGTGAACTATAAAAAGATATCTATATATCAATCTCGAATAGCTGGAGACATGACCTATAATCTTGAAGAATTTGTAAAATGTATCTGTGATTTTTTTTTTCTGTGTGACATTTTTAATACAGACTTTCTTGCTTGCTCACATGCTCTCTCTCTCTTTACCTCCCTCCCTCTTTCCCCCGTCCCCTAATCCTCCTCCTTCTCCCCCTTCCCCTTCCTGATAGGGTCTTGCCATGTAGTTCACGCTGGCCCAGGCTAGCCTCAAACTTGCAGAAATCCTCCTGCTTCACTTTGGGATTACAGGCATGCGCCACCACACCTGGCTCAAGAGTGTTACAAATGTTTTAAATTTTTATATGGAAATCCAATATGTATAAAAGTTGAGTCTTGCTATATTACAGTATATTATTAAACATATAATAAAAGAATAATATGATTTCTTCCACTTATGAATTTGCCTAGTTTCAACGTTTATCAACACTATATCCTGTTTTCCTTCACCTTTCCTTCTACTTCAGTGTCATATTTATTTATTTTTATATATATTTACTTACTTATTTTGAGACAGGGTCTCACTATGTAGTTGTGACTGACCTGGAACTCACTATGTAGCCCAGGCTGGTCTCGAACTCCTGCAGGCGTGCGCTACTACGCCCGGCTTTTTTTTTTTTTTTTTTTTAATTTCAATATTATTTAAAAATTTTTTTTTTCAGGACTGGTAATTGAACCCAGGACTTTCACATAGAGCTGCATCCTCGGCATTTTTTACTTATTTTTTTATTTGGAGACAGGGCCTTGCTGAGTCGTTCAGGCTGGGCTTGAAATTATCGTCTGCCTGTCTAAATTTCCCAGAGTATTAGAATTAAAGGCATGGGCCATCATGCCCAGCTTTAAAAGAAGTTCTTAATGTCATCCTATTGCATTTGTAAATACTTCACTCGTATAACTCTAAAACAAAAGTTGGCAATTTTTGTACAGGATCAGCTACTAAATGTTTTGGGCTTTTCAGGCCATATTTTTTGCTATCGTAACTACTCATCTCTGGCATTGTAGTTAGAAGCAGTTCTAAACAGTGCAAACATGAGCTTGTCCATTGTTTAGTAAATCTTTTCAAATGTTTTTCAATAAATGTGGACTCTGCAATTTGAATTCTGTATTTTCATATGTCAAGGAATTTTTTGGTTTTTTTCTCGACTGCTTAAAAATGTGAAATAACATTTACAGTTTACCTGGAGTATAAAAAAGTAGCCAATATACATTAGTTTGTTGATCCTTTCTGTGAATAACAATCTCCCCCCGACTTTTTCTTCCCAAAGGGAGAATACTCATAATATCATTATTATACTTAAAACAGAAACTGATTTTTTACTTTCATGTATCTAGTGAATACTTAGATTTACCCAGTTAACTAATAAATATTGTATCATTACCTGGATCCAGTATTTCATTGAGGTTTACACAATGATCACATTCTGATTATGCCATTACTACCGGCTTTAATCACAGTACTTTTCTATGGTGATCTTTCCAAGTCAACTCCTTGATTACTGTTTGTGACTTTTATACAGAAAAGACAGTAAATGCCTGTTATGTTCTTCCCCACCTTTTTAAAACTGCTGTTGTTTAAGGAATTAGTTATCACTTCTTTATTTATATTCTCAAAGTGTTTGGTATCTAACTGTTGGAAGCCTCTCTCATTTATTCTCGTGGCTGTTAAATAGAACCTTCAGTAATCTTCCTTGCTTTCTGGTAGTACAGAATGTTCCAGAATCACTTTGTATATTTTTCTTTTTTTGATACTGGGGATCGACTCAGGACCTTGTGCTTGCAAGGCAGGTGCAGTGCCACTGAGCTAAATCCCCAGCCCTACAAATATCAAGGATCAAGCATTTAAAATCTCCCGTTCCTAAGTATTTAAAAACTGGAACTATGTAAATTCACCTTAAAGCACTGTTACTCGTTAGAAGTAAATGAAATTATATAAAGTTTTGGAGATAAGTTGTTACCTTTGTAAAAGTTATCCATAGGGAGAAGTTTTTTAAAAATTAACTGTTTCCAGCAAATTAAGACAGTGATTTTTTTGTTTTGTTTTCTTTCTTTCATACTGGAGAGTGAACTCAGGTCCTTGCCAGTATTGTATAATCACTTTTATCATTGAGCTACATCCTCATCCCTTTTTATTTTATTTTATAACAAGGTCTTGCTTAGTTTCCTGGGCTGCCTTGAACTTGGTATATATACCTGTTTAATCCTCTAAAATAGCTAAGATTACAGGTGTGCACCACCATGCCCAATTAAAATTTGTGTTTCTTCCTTTTTTTGACCATGGAGATGTTTTGTGATAGCGTCTCCTTGTAGTCCAGGCTAGTCTTGAACTCGTGGTCCTCCTGCTTCAGTCTTCTGAGTGCTGGGATTACAGGTGTGCACCATGATATCTGGCTGTTTTTCTTCATTAAAAACAAAAACAAAAACGGGCTAGGGGGCGTCTAACCTGGCCTCATGAATGCTAATCTACTGATGAAGTACCTGTCCTGCCTGGCTCTCTGTCTTTGAGCATGAATGAAATATTAAGAGAATGTTCCACTGGTTGAAATTACTGATCTGTGTATTTATTTAAAGAAACAAAGGAATAATCAAATAATGCAGAACCTTTAAGTAGGACTTTTAAAAAAGATTTTCATATTTGAAAGCTTTTCTTACAAAGGGAAATAACGTCTAAACACTGTAACCAGGTATTTATTTGGACAGTAACGTCTTTCAGTCTCTGTCCTTGTCATGAAGCATATGTAATATGTTATGGACAAGGTCATGTTCTGTTCTTGTTACCATGGCTAGTTGTGTATTTCCTGAGGATCTAAGTGTTTGGATTTTTGAGATGGGGTCTTCCCATATAGTTCAGACTGGCCTTGAAGCTTGAACTCACTATGTATCCCAGGTTGGTCTCAAATTTGCAGAGATCCTCCTGCCTCAGTCTCACAGGTGCTAGGATTATTGGTGTACACTACCACGCCCTGCTTACATTTGGTTTTTAATTTTTTTTTTTTTCATAAAAGGTTAAAATTAGCCGGGCATGGTGGGGCACGGGCACGCCTATAATCCCAGCACTTGGGAGGCTGAGGCAGGAGAATCACTGTGAATTTTAGACCAGCCTGGGCTACATCGTGAGTTCCAGGTCATTCTCAACTACATAGTGAGACCCTGTCTCAAAAAAACCCAAAAAAAAAAGGTTAAAATTATCCTGGTGTGATACAGACCTGCAGTGACTGACAGATACTCAGGAGGCTAGGCAGGGTGCTGGCCTGGGCAACGTAACAAGACCCTACCAACCCCTCCCTGCAGTAAAAGATTAAAATTCTTTAATCTCCAAATCTTCTCATTGGTTAAATGGAATAATAACATCTAATTTCTGAGATTGTTGCAAAACATTTTTATTGTGTTTGATTCATGGTAAGTACGTAATGACTTAGCTATTACTCAGTAAAGGTTTGTATCTTCTGCTTTCTAGAGGTTCAGTACTAGTACATGTTCATGCTTCATGTTACACATTTTACATATTCTTATTTTCCTTTTGCCCTGCTTTTCCATGTAATTTTTATCTTATGTATTTATGACCATCATTTGGAAAATTTTTTTGGTGCGAAGTAGAAAAAACAAGGAGACTTAATTCACTTACAAATTAAAAATTATATTCTTATCAAAGAAAGAATTATTTTTCCTAGATTTAGTAATCCCTCTTTTTTCTTCGTTTTTGTATTAACTCTTGCTAATTTTTTACATATATTTCAGTGGGTCTGTGAGACACTTATTTTTTTATTGTGTATGTGTGTAATACATAATAGTGATATTTATTTGGGGGAATTGGTACATACAAACAACACAATGTTGATCAGTTTCAATCCCTTTACTTCCCTCTCCCTTACCTTCCCGCTCCCCCTGGTCCCCTTCTCTATCTCCCAAAAGCTTGCCTTCTTGCTTCCTACTATCTCTGATTTATGTGTTTATATTTTAGTTTCTTATATAAGAGAAACTGTGCGATAATTAACTTCAAGTGTCTCACATTTTGCTTTGCATTATGTTGTCTGGTTGCATCTATTTTCCTACAAATGACAAGATTTCATTCTTCTTTATGGCTGAATAATATTCATACATACACACACACCCCATTTTCTTTATCCATTCATCCGTTGATGGGCACCCAGGCTTTTTCTAGAGGTTAGCAATTGTGAATTGCATTGCTATAAAAATGGGTATGCAGGGCTGGGGATTTAGTTTAGTGGTCTCCCACCTGCTTCGTAACTGCAAGGTCCCAAGTTCAATTCCCTGTACAAAAAAAAAAAAAAATGAGTATGCATCTATCATTATATTATGATATCTTTAACTCTTTTGGGAATAATGTGTTTCCAGGAGAGATATAGCTGGGTCATATGCAATATCTGTTTTTAGAGGAATCTCCATACCACTTTCTGTAGTGGTTGTACTAATTTGCTTTCCCACCAGCAAGAGTTCCTTTTTCCCCATAATTAGCCAGCATTTATTGTTTTTTGTGTTCATTCTGACTGCAATAAGATGGAATCTCAGAGTTGTTTTGGTATGCATTTTCCTAATGGCTAAATAAAGATGCTGAACATTTTTCATGTACTTAATGACCATTTGTACTTCTTATTTTGAGAAGTGTCTATTCACTTGATTTGTCCATTTTGTGATTAGGTCATTTGTTTTGGGGGAGGTTAATATTCTAGGTATTATTAGTCCTCCTGTCAGAAAAGTACTTGGCAAAACTTTTTTCCCGTTCTGTAGATTTTTTTCACTCTGTTCATTTTTTCCTTGCTATGCAGAAGCTTTTTAATTTGAGGTAGTCCCATTTGTTGATGCTTTAATAGTGTTTCCTGAGCTGTTGGAATGCTATTCTGGAAGCCCTTTATGCCTGTGACTTCAGATGTTTTCCTGTGTTATTTTTCAGCAGTTTCTAGGGTTTTTGTTTAGTTTTAAATATTTATCTATTTATTGATAGGTCGTTGTACTGGGGGTTAACCCAAGGCCATAGCAGCTACACCCCTGTGTGCCCCTCCCCTTTATTTTACATTGTGTGGCTAAGGCACTGAGTTGCCTGGGTTGGGCTTAAACTTGTAACCCTCCTGCCTCACCCTTGTAGAATGCTGGGTTTATGGGTCTGCACCATCACATCTGCCTTAAGTTTCTTTTTATATATCTAGGTCTTTGGTCCATTTTGATTTGATTTTAGAATAGGGTGAGAGATAGAGATCTAATTTAATTCTTCCCACATGGAAAACCAGTGTTCCCAGCACCATTTTTTAAAGAGGCTCTCTTTTTTCCTGTGTACATTTTTGGCCTCTTCATTAAAAGTCAGATGGCTGAAGGTGCATGGCGTTGTTTTTTCATCTCCTCTTCCATTCCATTGGTCTACATTTCTATTTTTGTGTCAGTACCACACTGTTATTGTTACAAAGCTTTGTGGATAATTTGAAATCCAGAACTGTGGTGTCCCTTTTTGTTCTTTTTGCTCAGGAATGCTTTGGCTATTTTGGGTCTCTTTTAGTTGCATATGAATTTTAGGATTGTTTTTTTCTAGGTCAGTGAAGGATGTTAGTATTTTAATAGGGATTGTATTAAATCTATAGAACACTTTTGGTAATATGGCCATTTTAACAACATTAATTCCGCTTATCCAAGAACAAGGGGTGTCTTTTCATTTTCTAATATCCCCTTCAGTTTCTTTCTTCAATTTATTATAGACGTCTTTACTTTCTTGGTTATATTTATACCTAGGTACTTATTTTTGAAGCTATTGTGAATGGAATTGTTTTCTTGATTTCTTTCTTTGTAGGTTCATTGTTGGTGTATAAGAATGCTGTTGACTTTGTTGTGTTGATTTTGTATCCTGAAACATTACTTTTTCAAATATTGCAACATGTAAGTTAGAATGGGCTACATTATGGTAGAGTAACAAGCAATTCTCAGATCTCGGTGACAACAGAAGAGCATTTCTCATTCACCTTACGTGTTTAACATGAATTAATGAGGGGACTCTTTATCAAGTTTTTTTCAGGGACTCGGGCTGATAGGGACTTTCTGTCGACATGTGTTTCGGTAGTTACTGCAGCAAGAAAAGGGCCACATGGCTAACAATGCTTTGACTCTTAAGAGCATATACCTTTGAAGTATAAGCTGCCATTTCATCTACTAAGGCAAATAAACCTTTGCGTGACTTCAAAGGGAGGAGGACTGTGCTTTTGGTCACCAATTACTCAGCTTGGTTTCACTCCTAAAGTGGGTAAAAATAAACCCACTTTTCTCGCAGCATCAGTCAATCCAAAATTCCCATGCAGTCACAGCATGAAGTTTAAAGTTAAGAATCTTTAAGAGCTCTGTGGGCTAAGTGTACTTATGTTACCCCATACCCAGTATATCAGAGTAAATATTCTCCTTCCGAAAAGGAAGCAGTACAGGATAGCAGTTTATTGTCCATGGCCGTTCTGAAATTCAAGTGAGTGACTTTTTCAAGTACCCTCTCTGCTCTCATCAGATCCCTCTACTCTCAAGAAATAGGTTCTAGTTCATTGTTCTTTGTGGCTCTGCTTTGACTTCGTAGGATACTCTATTCTAAGGTAATTTTTCATATTTATAATGTTGATTAAAAAAAGATATTTAATTAACTATTCTGTTACTGTTGGATGTTAGGATCTTGGTTCCAGGTTTTGGTGTGCATGTCATTTTAATGAAATTGATCCTAACTATCTGTATAAACAGAATTTCAAAATTGTATGCATTATCTTCCTGTTGTGTTTTAGAGCTAGAATGGATCATGCAGCCTACTTGTCCTGTTGTCTCATTTTAAAAACTCTGAATCAGAGGTTCAGTGTTAACCTTGTGATTATACTGGTTGTAAGTGGCACATTTATAACTTAATTGTCTAAGATACTATCATTTCACAAAGGCTTTTTTTATTAAAAAATGCAATATTTTAATAATTTGCAGGGTTGAACAGTTCTCTACATGAAGATATATTAACCAAGGACTTTTTCCTCCCTAGTTTGTAGTCTTTCATCTGGAAAATTCGGGACATTACTTAGTGGCTCATGGGACACCACCGCTAAAGTCTGGCTGAATGACAAATGCATGATGACCTTGCAGGTACAGTATTAATTGCAAGTATTCTAGATAATAAATGAGCATGATAATTCTATGGCAACTTACGTTGATACCAATTTTACTCATAGGGTCATACAGCTGCAGTATGGGCAGTAAAGATTTTACCTGAACAGGGCTTAATGTTAACTGGATCAGCAGACAAGACTATTAAACTATGGAAGGCTGGAAGATGTGAGAGAACTTTTTCAGGTAAGATCAGGTAGACTGGTTTTATAGTCATCAGTTATTTGCTCAAATTTTTTTTTTCCTGGAAAGATTAGAAGTTTAAAAATGATAATTGAAGCTGGGCGTGGTGGCATACACCTGTAATCTTGCCATCCTGGGAGTCTTAGGCAGGAGCTCACCCGAGGCAATGTAACAAGACTCTGTCTCCAAATAGAAGATTTAAAAAGGGCAAGCGATGTAGCTCAGTGTGGAGGCTCTGGGTTAAATCCACTGTATCCCCCCAAAAAATGTATTTAAAAACATCAGTATATTTGCAATGCTTAATTTGGGCACATTTGATTTTTCTGAAAAAATTAGCTTTTCAAAAGAGTTATAAGATCCCATAAAAACACCAGATGTATACTGATAAATAGCTGTCTGAAAAACTATAACATATGTATGTGCTTCTGTGTGTTACAATGTATGCAACTTTTCGTATGTAATTACAATTTTGGTTGTCCTTTTAACATAGGCTGAAAATTCAAGTAATAAACCTTACTAACGATGGGTCCGCTGTTTGTTATCTTCATAACTAGAAGAAAGCATTGCTACCTTTATTTATTTTGAAATACAACATTTTTGGGTTTTGTTGATGTGGTTTTGTGGTAGTTGTTTAAAACTTTAGCTTGTAAATAGTACTATGCTAAGGCATCTGCTGATTAATTTCATGCATGTATGTACATGCTGGGGATTAAACCTAGGAGCTTGCACATGCTTTACAACTGAGCTAGATCCCAGCCCCTGTGCTAATGTTAATATCACAGATTTATTTGTGGGACACTTATTGTTGGTGTAAGTTTTGTGTGTGTGTGTGTGTGTGTGTGTGTGTCCACCAGGGATTGAACCCCAAGACATTTGCAGCGATCTGCATTCCCAGCCCTTATTTGTTTATTTGTTTACTTATTTTTTGAGACAGGGTTTGGCTAAATTGCTCAGGTGAGGCTTGAATTTGCAATCCTCCTGCCTCAGCCTCCTAGCATGCTAGGATTGCAGGTGTGCACCACCATGCCCAGCTTGGTGTAAGCTTTCTTATTGTAGTTTTCCTTTATTTATTTTCTCCTTAAAAGTTTATCATGACCTAGATGATACTCCAGGAAGTCCCTTTATGCAGATAGAAGTATCTGTAGATGGAAAATGGATAATGTGTTGTTTCTATTTCAGTACATTCTAGCTATTGATCAATTGATCAATTAATATCAAGTCATTATTAGTTTGTAATAACTAGTCTAAATGAACAAATATCGACCATGGGAAAGTACTTTTTTTATTTTTTAGGTTACTAGGGATTGAATCTAGGACCTCACATGTTTAGCAAGTACTTCACACTCCACCCTTTCTTATTTTTTACGTTACAGAATGATCTTGCTAAGTTGTCCAGGCTAGCCTTGAAATTGTAATATTTCCTGGAATTATAATTTTGTACCATACTGCCCAGCAAGCGTGGGAAAGTTTTGACCTCTCAGCTCTTTTATTGGATCACAAGCTTTGGAGAATTTTTGTCCTTATATTTAGGAAACATTTTCTCCTTATTCTATATTCCTGTTATATTTTAATATTTTACCTTTTATTATTGGGAAAGAAAAATTGAAAATGAATTGTTGTGTGAATATGAAGAGTTGTTAAGGTCAAAATACTGTTTCTATAATGTTTTAGGAAAAGTTTTGAGACCATAATGATGAATATAAAATAATTTCTCAGGACTGGTAATAAAAAATGTTGTCAAACCTGAAATACAAATTTTGGTTACGAAAAACCAAAGATGGAATTTCTCGAACTTAAAAAATTATTTTTTACTATTCACAGATATAGCTTATAATGTTAGTAAAATACATAAGGTTATCAAACAAAGGATATATTTTATTGATTTACATTATTCTTTTTTAAATGTAGGGCATGAAGACTGTGTAAGAGGTTTGGCAATTTTGAGTGAAACAGAATTTCTTTCCTGTGCAAATGATGCTAGTATTAGAAAGTGGCAGATCACTGGAGAGTGTCTTGAGGTGTATTATGGACATACAAATTATATTTATAGCATATCTATTTTTCCAAATTGCAGAGGTAAGATTATTTTATATGTTGAAATTTGTATTGTGCACCATTCCATCACATTCTTGGGGAGGAAGGCTGATTACTTAAATCAGTTTTCTGTTGTGATTGAAAATTTTAGTAACTTTATTTCCTACATATCTTTTTTCTAATGGGAAAAATTGTGCCGGGGATTTAGCTCAGCGGTTCGGTGGCCTGCCTTGCAAGCGCAAGGACCGAGTTCGATCCCCGGTACAAAAAAAAAAAAAAAAAAAAAGAAAGAAAAAAACTCTAATGGGAAAAATTGTATGACCATTTTTATATTAATTCAGGTCAGTTAGATATCTTATGAAAAAGTTCTTGAGTATCTGAGCAAAGACTAATTTATTGGTGCAATATATGAAATGAATAAAAAATGTAATTTTAAAGTTGTGTAAATGGCAAATGTGTAAAATTTTAAAACACAATGAGGTTTAAAAGTGTCAATATATGTGTAGAAAGATGTTGCTTCTAAATATACTTAATCATTTTTCATTAATTTTAGATTTTGTGACAACAGGAGAAGACAGATCTCTGAGGATATGGAAACACGGGGAATGTGCTCAAACAATCCGACTTCCAGCTCAGTCCATATGGTGCTGCTGCGTGCTAGACAATGGTGATATTGTGGTTGGTGCGAGGTACTTATAGCCAGTCAGTGAATGGGTTTTGTGTGTTTAGGCCTATGATAGACCCTAGTGTACAGAGACAAGCTCTTTCAGGTGAGTTGGGAAGACTTCGTGCACGTGTTTGTTACTAAACAGAGCAGTAGCAGGAACAACAGCTAGTACATAATGGTATGTGATATAGTTTGTTAGACCAGTACCATACTGCAACTTGTGTGGTCAAAACACTGAATGCAAAAGAAATTAGAAAGGTGGGATTGGTTTGGGAACATTTTTCTGGAAAAGAAATTCAAATTGGATTTTGAATGATAGTAACAGAAGAAATTAGAATTTCTGACTAAGAAAACCAGTATAAGTTTCCTTTATGGAATGCATGTGATGTGCATGGAGATGAGGGGAAATAACTGAGAGGACAGAGGCTAGGGAAGAGTGAATAGTAAATATGGTGACTTCACTGTGGAGCATCTTGATAGCCAGGTATTTTTCCGATTGAGTGCTTGGGTTTAAGGGGCTTTTAAGCAAGAAATGCTCTCTTGAGTTATTCACAAGCTAGGACTGGATTTGACTAGCGTTAACACTGGACAGGAATGCAAACTGGAAATCAATTGCAGCAGTAAGGGTGGGAAGTTGCAAAACATAAGCCTCACAGTGCTGATGGATAAGAAAGACACAAATGAGGTAATATAGAGGCAAAATTATCAGAAAGAGGGTTAAAAAAAGAAAAATAATCTTCCAACTTTTTTTAGTTAGCAATTGTATTAAAATGGGGAAATGAAAAAATTAATTTGCTGCAAAGAAGGTAACTTTGGCTATAGAATTCCAGAGTCAGTATTCAACCACACATGCTAGGGGATCATGGGTAGTTGAACTGGAGCCCAGTGTATGAGCCATAAGCAAGTTGTAGATACCTTTCTCAGAGGGGAGATATGTAGAGGAGAGAAAACTAAGGATTCAGTAGTGCAATATATTGTGAAAAATGGCCAGTAGGTTAGTCAAAGTTCAGTGGTAAAAATTCAGGGAGGTGGAAAAGGAGAAATTTTGGAGGGAAATTCAACTGTGTCAGAAATGCTTTGGGAGGTTAAGGGGTGGACAGTTTAAACAGCATTTAGATTTGACGTGAAAGATGTTATTAGTCTTTCGACATCATAATTTGGTAGAAAAAGATGGAACAAAAGGTGAGAGGAGGTGAAGGGCCGTTTGAGGAAGGGGATGGAGGAAAGTATTACAGACTGATAGAGCTCCCTGGCATTGGAAGCAAGAAGAAAAAGAAAGAGATGGCTGTCACAAATACAATATTTAATAAAATAGAGGTATTTATTTTTTAGCTGAGCAGGGGGTTAATTTTTTGGCTGAGTTCTATTTTCCCCAAGTTAGAAGTTGAAGAAAAACCAATTGAAAAAGTAAAATTAATGTTTATAGAAAGTTAAATAAGAAAGTATTCTCTAGAATTGAGTAGGATTAATACAGCTGGAAGTAGCCAACATTAACTCTACTTCAAAATTTAGAATTGAGAAATTAAGGAAATGTTAAGTTAAATAAGAAAGTATTCTCTAGAATTGAGTAGGATTAATACAGCTGGAAGTAGCCAACATAACTCTACTTCAAAATTTAGAATTGAGAAATTAAGGAAATGCAATCTTTCAGAGAATAGAGGTTGAAGACTACCATCCAATCTAAACATGAAACCTTTTTTTTTGAAAGAACAAACATACTATTTATAAATTATCCCACTGCTTTTTATTTATTTATTTTATTTATTTATTTTTGTTTGTTGTTTTTTTGGAGACAAGGTCTCTCTAAGTAGTTGAGACTGACCTGGAACTCCCTATGTAGCCCAGGCTGGTCTTGAACTCACAGCGATCCTCCTGCCTCAGCCTCCCCAGTGCTGGTTACAGGTGTTCATGAGACTGACCTGGAACTCCCTATGTAGCCCAGGCTGGTCTTGAACTCACAGCGATCCTCCTGCCTCAGCCTCCCCAGTGCTGGGATTACAGGTGTTCACCACCACACCCAGCTCCCACTTCTTTTCTTTATGGTATAATACACATGTAACATTGACTTAAAAAGTAAATAGTATATTTCCAGATTGGTATTGTGGTAAATAAATGGGTGTTGAAATTTGTATTAAGTACATATTTCTCTGTCCTTTGCCATTAACTTTTTTAAGTAGCAGAAATAATAGAGAATGTATGCTAATATCAGTGTAGTGCTATACTCAGCAATAATTACATAGTAGCATTTCTCACATTCGCAAATACAGATTGGTTTTGCTTTAGCTCATTCAGGTGTGAGAATGTTAATGCACTATGGCAATGATTTTTTAAATTTTTTTTTTCTTATAGTGATGGTATTATTAGAGTATTTACAGAGTCAGCAGATCGTACAGCAAGTGCTGAGGAAATCAAGGCTTTTGAAAAAGAGCTCTCCCAGGCAACCATTGATACCAAAACTGGTGATTTAGGGGACATTAATGTTGAACAGCTTCCTGGGAGGGAACATCTGAATGAACCTGGTAAATATTTCAGTTTATCTAGTAGTTAAAAATGCTACCATCTTTGGGGATGCGAAGAGAGATAAGAAAATTATGTTATCTTGCTAGTGTTTTCACTGTTATTCTTACTGCCTGGTACTGATTTTTGAGTATTTCGATCATCACACCATATTGCTATAAGAAACCATGTTCTTGTCTTTGTCTTACAGTTTAGACTTTGAGTAAATCTTTCTATAAACAAATTTTTCTTTTAATAAATCTCCAAAAACAACTCAAAAATAGTAGGTACAGTGCCGGGGGTTTAGCTCAGTTGTTCTGCCGCCTGCCTCATAAGCACAAGGACCTAAGTTCCATTCCCAGTACCAAAACAAACAAACAAACAAACAAATAAATAAATAAATAAATAGTAGGTACTCAGAAGTCACCCATTTAATAATTTTTTTGGAATTTCTGCAAAAGACTGTAGAAACTAAACATGAGAATGAGTTCATAAAACAATGTCTGCTTCATGAACTGGGATCATTTGAATTAGAAATCGGAACATAAGTCGTCTCAGTGAAATCTTGTGTCCCTGACCAACTGTATCAGTGCTTTTTAAAACTTGGTTCATGGGGATTTTAGATCCTTTCAGGATGTTCTTGGGTTCAACGCTTATTTTTAATATTAGATGTTGTTTGGCTCTTTATATTGTGTAAGGCTTACACTTACGGTGCAAAAGCAGTGATAGATAAAGCTGCTGGCTGTCCAGTAAACAAATCAAGGTAGAGGCACCAAAGTCTTCAAGTAGTTATAACGTTCTTCACTGGCACGCTGTTGTCGATTTTGGAAAAATGCCATTTGCCACTAAGAACCTCTTGGGTGAAGCATTAAAAAGTATTATAAATGTACAAAAGTATTATAAATGTAAAGCGCACATAAAAATACAATAACATGGTGTCTCAAGGAAAAGCATTTGTATAGTGTTTTGTTTGTTTTTGTTTCTTCTTTTTTGAGACAGGGCCTCATTTGTAGTCTTAGCTGGCCTTAAACTCAATAGGTAGCCCAGGCTGGCAGCAGTCCTCCTGTGTGGGCCTCCAGAGTGCTAGGATTATAGGCATGCACCACTATGCCCGACCCTTGTGTAGTTTTTTTGAGTTGCAGATTAAACTACTACTTTTTTCATGAAATATAATTTTTATTTGAAAATGAAAGGACAACTATAGTTATTCAGGTTTGGGTATTTGGCAGATGTTTTTTGAAAAATGTACAAAATGAGCATGTCTTTTTAAGGAAAATAATTGACAATATTTGTGGCCAAAGGTAAAATTGAAGCTTTTGCAGAAATTGAAATTTTATAAAACTTGTTTCTCTCCCCAGGAGCTTAATAGTTTTCCAGTATGTTAAAGACCATTCTAGTAATATAGATGGTAATGTTAGCAAGTGTGAGTTTTTCAGATGTTGAATAGTAAAATGGTTTATGTACATAGATCTGTGTAAGTCAGTGAACTAATGTTTTCTAAATGATTAGGAAATGGTATTACATTTGCATTGGTAAAAGGTCCTCTCAAAGTGGGAAATAAACCAATGGGTTTCAGTGTAAAAGTGTGGAAAATTCATTGATATGGTTTCAGATTCTACATTGTAACCTTTAAGAAACTACCACTTGTAGAATATTGACATTTTCTGAAAAAGCTACTTCATCCTGTTTCTGAACTTCTTACCTGGGTAAGGATGAATTTTTTTCTAATTCAGCCAAAGCAGTAAATTAAAAGTAAAATTAAAGGATGAAGGGCTAAACCAGAACTGGCATAGATCAAGCCCATGTAGATTGTACTCATTGTTAACGCAGTAATATGGCATCAAGTGGATTCAAGATACGGGGCTGGATAATGTAAACCGACTGGACAACTACAGCTCTACCCTATGAAACAGAAGCGTGACTCTTTGGAAGACAGCTATGCTAGCTGTCTCTGTCACTGAAGGCCTTGTTGAGATTTCTCACAGCCAGCAGTTAGAGGCCACCCTGGGTGACATGAGACCCTATCTTAAAAAAAAAGGCCAAGAGCCAGTCTTGGCAACATCTATGTGAAAAGTATCATAGGCAGAATATATCCAGTAAAAAGGCTTTGTAGCTGTAGTGGGGAAACAAGGGAGCTAGAAGAACAGTAGAAGGTAAGGTCAAGAAGGATGGTGGAGGTAGTTGATACTTGGTCTTTTCTGCGACTCTTAAGAGTTTAGGCTTTTACACCTGAATGAGTTAAGAAGCCACTGGGGGCTTTCCAGCAGAAAAGTTTGTTTAAGAATTTAGACTTCTGTTTGTTTTTGAATAGTGAGACTAGCTCTCATCCTTTTTTTTTGGTACTGGGGATCAAATTTGAGGACCTTGTGCTTATGAGGCAGGTGGCAGAACCCTGAGCTAAATCCCCAGCCTTAGAATTTAAACTTTTGAAGAAATTCCAATGATTGTTGGGTTGAAGGTAACACTATGAAGGGCCAGTAGCAGGAGCAGGAAACCACTGAATCAATCCAACCAAGAAATGGTGGTGTCTTATACCAGGGAATAATAATGATGTTAAGATGTAGTTTTTCTGTGTTTCAGAGAATGAGAATGAGCTAAAGAAAATGGCTAAAGAAGTGGCTGTGAGATTGAGAGAAAGAGATACAAACTCTTCTTCACTTTGTCCAGAGCCACTGAAAGAATAGAGAGCTAGTTGTGTATGGATTTGAAATGTGTTAGCAAGAGATATTTGGCAATAAAACTTGTTTTATTTTTGATGGGCCTTTCTAGTAGAGTCACATTTTTAACTTTATTTATTAAAATTCCCTTTCATTATTTTCTTTTACCTTATAGTAGAATTACATTTTAAAATCTTCTAATAAAATTTTATTTTAACCCAAAATATATATTATGTATAAATTTTAATATTAAGAATTTCTTATCTAAATGTCTTTGAATTTTACTCCTTCATTCTTTCTTTGATTCTTAAAATTTTTGTTTAAGGTACTAGAGAAGGACAGACTCGTCTCATCAGAGATGGGGAAAACGTTGAAGCCTATCAGTGGAGTGTTAGTGAAGGGAGGTGGATGAAAATTGGTGATGTTGTTGGCTCATCTGGTGCTAATCAGAAAACATCTGGAAAAGTTTTATATGAAGGGAAAGTATGTCAATTTCTGCTAATTATCATTATCTCAAACAATTAAAGGTTTTCTTTTCCCCACTCTGATAAAATTTTCCTTGGTGTTTTGACACTTTAAAAATACATTACTGTAGGGCCAGGGATTTAGCTCAGAGGTTTCACTGCCTGCCTCGCAAGCGCAAGGTCCTGAGTTTGATCCTTGGTGCCCCCCCAAATACATTACTGTGCAAAAATTAATCTTTTTTTCCCCATCTTAAAAAAATAGATTAAAAAAAAATCTCTTTCCAGAAAGACATAGGATACATATCTTTAATCCCAATACTTGGGTAGCAGAGGCAGGAGGATCACCGTGAGTTTGAGGCCAGCTTGAACTACAAAGTGGGATCCTGTCTTAAAAATTACTAAAATAAAATAAAAATTTTGAAAGACTTTCCCTGTTGTGAGTATCATGTATAATAGAAAAATTAGCAACTCTCTGTACCTTTCAAAGTTGCCACACATAATTGTTTCTAAGCATTTTGGATTAGGAGCTTCTGTGCCATCATTCATCTATTGCTTAATGCCAGAATTTGTTTAACTTGAAAGGATGTGAGGGACCCTGTAGGCAGTGCTAATGCTGGCATAGTTTGATGAGGAGGGCACTGCAACAACTGATTCTTACACTGAGAGATCAATTAGAAACCCTTCTTTGGCTGTGGAATTAGTAGATATAATCCGTCTCCCATCTCACCCCACCTTGTGGCATATGTAAATGATTGATATTTGTCTGTGTTGGCCGAAGAGAAAGCTTAAAATTTAAGTACTGTAATTACTGAAAATAGCACGTAACATCTGTGTTATATATGTCATCAATATGTATGAATAGGCAAATTGGTAATCATTTTGTTTTATTGTTCCTATTATAGGAATTTGATTATGTTTTCTCAATTCATGTCAATGAAGGTGGACCAACATATAAATTGCCATATAATATCAGTGATGATCCCTGGATGACTGCATACAACTTCTTGCAGAAGAATGATTTGAATCCCATGTTTTTGGATCAAGTAGCTAAGTTTATTATTGATAACACAAAAGGTCAAATGTTGGGACTTGGGAACACCAGCTTTTCAGATCCATTTACAGGTGAGTTAGGGTTTGTATTAAATTTTCTGTACTAATACAAGTAGTGAGTTTTTTTGTTTTTTTGTTTTGTTTTGTTTTGTTTTTTTCCATTTTAGTACTGAGAATTGAACCCAAGGCCTGTGTGTTCCAAAGAACACATACTACCAGGCTGGGGATGTAGCCCAGTGGTGCCCCTCCTGCCTGGCAATTGTCAGGTCCTAAGTTCAATTCCCAGTGCAAAAACAAAGCAAAACAAACAAACAAACAAAACACATACTACCACTGAGCTATTCCCCAGTATGATTGATTTTTCTTTTCTTTCTATTTTTTTGGTACCAGAGCTCGAACTTGGGTCTCTGTACTTGTGAGGCAGGCAGCAGAACCACTGAGCTAAATCCCCAGCCCAATTTTTCTTGTTTAAATACTTTTATGAATAGCAATTTAAATAAAAATCAAGATCTGCAGGAGATTTTATTTCAGGTTTATATTTTTAAGCTTCAAATTATGCAGTAATTCTGTATTTTATGGAAATAATTACAAATTGTTCTCTTTTAAAAGTACATCCTAACTGCAAACTAAATAAAATTAGTAACCTTTTATTCAATCACTTGAAATAGAAACTTGTAAGTTTCTCTATATAGTTTTCTTTTTAAAATACTTCTTTTGCAGTTTTGGAGATTGAATGCAGAGCCTCATGCATGCTAGATAAATGCTATACTACTGAGCTCTACCCCCAGACCCTGGTTTTTATTTTTTAAAATATATATTGTGGTGAAATTTAGTAAAGGGAAATTGATTTCACATAAGGCTTCGTTGACTATAAATCAGCTCTAGGAGTGAATTGTGGTTATGTAATTTATATGCCATATTTTAATTTTAAATTGGCTATTTGTAACATAGTGTACTGTACAGTATCTAAAATGTTATAGTTGGGGTTAGGTGCTCACACCAATCTGTAAATTGCAATCCATGTAGTATTAGGCTGATTTCTGACTTTCAAGAATTAGATTTGATCCTAGTAGTATTACCCTGAGTTCAGGATCCAGAGAAATGAAGTACAGGAAGAAATAGAGTGTTTCCTCTTTTTATGAGGACTACTCTGTATAAAATTTTGATTAGGTACTTTACTGTTAATGTTTTTCTGTTCTCATTTCTTCATGTGTGTATGATGCTGGGTATCGAATCCAGGGCCACGCACATGCTAGGTGAGCACTCTACTAATGAGTTGCACCTCTTGCCCACCTGTTGTCATTTCTGATTCTGCTTTTCATGTTCTATAAAAAACCCATATCATCTTCCTGTCTCAAATCCTTATATAGATTTGTCCTTCTTCCCTCACAGATACTCTGTCATCTCACAAATCATCTCCTTGCAGTTCAAAATGCTGTTGCCCATTCACATAATGAAGCTGATTTCACTTGCATGTTGACTTAAACAAAATTATTAAAGTAATTCACTACTGAGCTATAAATGATTTAACCCTCCAAACACTTGCAGTTAACCCCAAAAGAAAAAATTAAATCCTGAGTACCTGAATATTTCTTTGAATATTTCTCTTGTTGGAATTTCGGACTCAGGAAAAGAGTAAACTCATATTGCTGTACTATATAAGCTATATTGTGGGATGAGGGACAGGTATCAAAGCAGTTGGGTCTGTCTAGAAAGCTAGCAACTGCTTGGCTTGTTTTGCTCTTTGAATACTAACTTTATAAGCATTCTTACATATTGCTTTGGGGATGGCCTGGTTATTTCCGTAGAGGTACCAACAAAACATATTTTCACACATCACATACTTCTAAATGTGTAAACAGAAGTCAGTTCCCTTTGTAGTACGCATCCTCTTTGTAATTCTTTTCTCCAGTACATTGAAAGCTTAAGTAAATACAAGGATCTCCAGAACTGAGTAAAATGTTTGATACATGAAATAGTGGAACCCACCTCCTTTAAAAGGTTAACATTTTGATGCCTGTGGTTTTGATAGCAGCCATAATAGCAGGGATTCTTGTAAATTTGTATAGGAACAGGACAGAGATAGGAATTGATTTGATTTTATATATATTTTTTTATTTATAAAATATATTTTATGTATTTTTTTATATATTATATATTTTATATATATAAAATTTAGGTCAGATTACCTACAATTCTCTTTTCATATTTGAATTCAGTTATTTTAGCATTTATATTCTGGGATTAAGATTTTTTAAAAAGCATTGAAAAAAACAAAACTTGGAGAATCTCTGAAATTTGGGTTTTTTTAGTTACACTTTTGAGTATCATGTTACTCCTTGCTCTTCAATTTTTCTATAAGCTTAGATTCTTCTAGTGTAAACATTGTGCTATTTATGAAATCCAAAATCTTGGTGGATTTAAGCTTTTCCTTGTTTTGCATGCATAGGTGGTGGTCGGTATGTGCCAGGCTCTTCTGGATCTTCCAGTACATTACCAACAACGGATCCTTTTACAGGTGGGACACACTTTCAGTTAATACATCCTTCACTAAATAGATAACATTTTGCATTTTATGGCTTTACATCTTAAAGATATTAATTCAGTCACTAATAATTTCCTTATCTATATTTTCAATTTAGCTTCTAATTTTTGCCTTTTCTAGAGTGCTTTTGTAGATTGTCTCATGACTTTTAAATGGCATATTATTAGATCTTGTCATTCTCCTTGCCAGGGAAGCAGAGTAGTTAGCAATACAGGCTACAGAGTCAGACAGATCTTGGTTCAAAACCTGGCTCTCCCACTTACTTGCTATGAGAAGTTAGCAAGTTATTTAAACTGAGCCTATTTTTTTTTTCATTTGTGAAAATAGATAATAGGGAATCCACCAGCCAAGACACAATATGAGTGCTATCTATCATTGGTGAGATGCTACCACTCGCAAACAGAGAAAAAGCCATGTGAGTCCTTGATATTGGATGGAGCAGTGCAATCAAGACATCTATCCAGTCATATTTTGACTTAGCATGGAAGGAGACATTCTACCCATCGACTCAAGATTACTCTTCCTAATTTAAATTAGTAATGACTTTCTTGAAGCCTTCAGAGTGAATTAATACTTACTGAAGTGTGTAAACCTCAGAATCAGTATTACTGAGGAAAAATTACAGAGTTGGACTTTAACGCAGCTGAAGAAGTTTCTATTTTCAAAATGGCTTTTGATATCTTTTGTGGTGCTTTTGTTGACTCTTCAGGCAGAGTACCTGGACAACATACTCATTTTGGCAAGAGAGCCTTTGTGGAATTCACTGCCCTTGCAAACTAGGTAGTGTGTCCTGTACAAATGTGAAAATACAATTGCCTTTTAGCCATCAATTGGGCCAATGCATAGCCTTAGATCATATTAACTTTCCCATTGCTGGCTCATGACATATCATAATGTATGTGGTGCACACCACTGCAGGAAAGTAATGTTTTGCTATACAGTTTTAGTGGATTCAGTTCATGGTCTGCTGATGTCATGACAGAATGGCTTGGTGGAGTAAAGCTCTTTACTGATTAACACCCAAGAAACAGAGAAAGGAGGAGCTAAGGACAAGAATACACCCTTCTAGATCACATCCCTTAGTAAGTTACCTTTTTTAGAGACCCTAACAGCAGATGAACTACTGAACTCATCAATGGATGAACCTACCCATGAGTATTGTACCCCTGTGACCCAGGCACCTTCCAAAACATGAGAAATTTATGGAACATTTTATATCTAAACTGTAACAGTCAGTGTCATGAAGTTGTGAATTGCTCTCAGTGAGCTTTTCTCCTGTGAATGAGTTAGTATCCCAGATGCAAATTATTGTACCTTGTACATTGGTAACAAGTATACTAAAATAACTCAAGCTAAATAATGTGATAGTACAGTGTCTGTGAAGGAAATCTTTGATATGTGATTTGAAATGGTAATAATGATCCAAAGAGTAGATAAAATGATGGTTTTGTGAGCACTTCGGGAACAGTGATGCTCTGAAACTTACTCCAACAAAGTTCCAAAATCTCATTGGCAACTTTTTCTGGATCATGAAGAACTTATCAAGGCTCAACTGTTACTAGTAAGATCAGGACCGGGGATTTAGCTCAGTGGTTCTGCCGCCTGCCTTGCAAGCACAGGGACCTGAGTTCGATCCCTGATACAAAAATAAAGCCATTACTAGTAAAATCAAGAGAGTTCCAGGGGCTATGTAACTGATCATGTTTTATTTCTGTGTAATACGAATAATTCTGAAGATGCAATTATTATATAAATATGTGAAATAAAATAGATAATGGCTTCTAACATGTTGAGATAAGAAAATTAAATGGCATAATCGAAAGTATTTAGCAAAATGACTAGAATATATTGAAACCATTAATATATAGCAGTTATCGTTTTTGTTGGCTGCTGTTCTCCCAACTGTACTAATAGCCATGGGACCAAAAGATTTCCCCATCTGACTTACAACTTAAGGTCAGTCTTATTTCTTTTCTTTATTACTTTATGTAGCCCTTGAACTTACAGTGTCCATTGCAATGATCTGGGAAGCTTGTCTAAATTTACATATTTCAATATGCTATTTTAGAGATTCTGATTCACTAGGTAGGAGCATAAATATTTATGCTCTGATTCTTTACTCAGTGATGCTGATTAAATGGTTTTAGGCTTGGTTTACTGCAAGGTATTTTTTAAAAGTTTCCTAAAGTGATGAATTATGCATGGACTCTGGGAATTTGCATATTAGATTATCTTCATTCAGGTAGGCAGAGAACACCTTTACAAAGTAGAGGATTGTATTCTCCCTTTTAATAGCTTAATGCCTTGGGCAAGTTATTCAACCTTCCTCTTCTAAAATACCTTGAATTACAAAGCTACCTAATTAATACTTTAATGAATATGTGCATATAAAGTGCTTATAGTCACTGTTTTAATTATTCTTATTTGCATCTTTAGTTTTTAGATTGTTTTTGCTTATTCGTGAGTTATACCAACTCCTAGATTATTTAAATTTAGGCCTAAACAATATTTTTTGAGGGGTTGATCCAGGTTTTTGGCTCCAACTCTTGCCGATTCTCTTTCCGCACTTATTTTTCATGGTTTTGTTCTGTTTTGTTTTGTTTTACTCTATTCAGTAAGGTGGCTACAGGTTATGATCTGGGATGTGGCTGGGCTGTTGTCATAGCATTCTTAACTCTTAACCAAGTCTTACCTGGTTGTGTTGTATGCTAGTACTTGGTCCTGTCTATTTTAATAGAATTGGGTTCACATTTTATTATGGAAAACTTTCTCTTCAATCCACTTGTATTTCTATAATTTTCTAAACTTTATACTTAGACTGTATAAACCATCTAATGCTTATTTTGTCACTTGAGAATTATATTTTTTAGCTTGACATTTATTGGGTATTTACTGTACACTGGTATATGACACATTTTTCTGAGCATTTTTCTGTGTAAAATTTATAGCATATTTGTGTATGTAAAGACACTTGTGAAATGTAACTAATAATGGAATAAGTTCTGTGAAGAAGGAAATTTTTCAACTTTATAATTTATACTTTGCTTACGAGGAGTATTATTGCATTGTAGGTGCTGGTCGTTATGTGCCAGGTTCTGTAAGTACGGGCACTACTGTGACTGGAGTTGATCCATTTACAGGTATATAGTTTTAATTTGTTACTTTTAGATTTTTAAAATTCATTGAAACTTTTGATTCATGAAAGTAAAATTTGTGCTTTCTTATGTTTTTCGTAATAAATAATTTATTTGGTTTGACTTCTAGAAATATTTTCTCAGAATTTCCTCATTACTGCACATTAGACTCTAGGGAACTAGATAAAATTGTAGGCTCAAACTTTATCTTATGAAGTGGCCACCGATAAAATATTGGTCCATATTGGGGTCTGGGCAAGAATAGTTGTGTAATCTTCCAGTGTGATTCTAATGACAACCAGGATCAAAAGCTACTGTTTCAGTGTAAATTCTGCTTCCTAACTACCCTTGAAAAATCTGTTTATTCTAATCTCTCCTTCATTTTTCCTTAATGTGTCAAGAGTGCTATTCACTGGCCTAGCACGGGGACAACACACCTATCATCCCCACACTCTGGAAGGCTGAAACAGGAGAATTTGAGCTCAGCCCAGGCAACTTAATAAGACCTTGTCTCAAAAATAAAAGGGCTGGGGACGTAGCTCAGTGCAAAGGTCCTGGGTTCAGGTCCCATGCAGGGTGTGAGGGGGATGAGAGGTATTGAAAGACTATAAAGGTGACAGTGCTCCTTTCCATTTTCCAGAAGTTTCTTATAATAGTTTGATATCTGTATACTGGACCTTAGTCTTAAGTTACCATTCTTTCTCCTAAAAGTAGTCTCCAAGTTTGTCTTTCCATGGTACACAGGACAGCCAGAGGTCTTTTTACAGATTATTCTATTTGTGTCCCCCCCCTTATTAAAACACTCCGAAATGGCATCCCATCAAATGTTTCCTTTTTGCGTACATTCCTCTCTGTCTTCCTTCCTATGCTGGCCTATGTCAGCTTCTTTAGCATGCCATGCTGTTTTCTGCCTTAGGAGCTTTGAGCACATTGCTGTACTTTGTTATACTTATAGCCTGTTTGTTACTTGGACCACGGGTTATTGGTTGTTACTGCCTACTCTCATTGCTCACCCCATTCCTCCTCTTTTAATTTAAACTTTACCAGGGATTTGGCTTAGTGATTCCGCTGCCCGCCTCGCAAGCGCAAGGGCCTGAGTTCGATCCCTGGTACCAAAAAATAAACACATAAAATTTAAATACAGTATTTCTTAAATGAACTCAGTAAACATTTTTTGATCACCCATTATGTTCTTTGCCTGAACACACACTCATAAACTTTCATCTTGTTCTATACCTTTCCTTTAGAGAGCTTTTCCTTATACAGTACTTGTTTTGATATTTGATTAACATTTGTATTCTTCATAAAACAACTATAGACTAACAACCAGGAGAGCTAGCTGTGTCTGTATAGTTCATCTTTGGTCATGTCAATAAATATTTTATGTTGCATAAACTATTAATTTTGTACATTTAGTTCTTCTGTTTCATCTGTATCTGCCTTTGCCCCCAGGATAATCCATATATAAAAATAATTTTTTATTCCTATTTTGCAAAACATCTTAATTTTACGTTAGAACAAAATGGAATATAAATTAAGAGTTATAATGTAAGTAAGATATTCTATTTAAATTAATACTTTAGTTGAAGTTACTTTATTCTGTTGAATATTGCTGAATTTTCATCTTGTATCAGTTTTTTTATCATCAGATACTGAGATATCAGTAAATATAAACAGTATCCGAAATCTTATAGATGATTTATTTTCTTTTCACTTTTTCTTAGGATTTCATGTTATTTTTATTGTATGCACCAAGTAGTTCCATATTTCAATAATTTATGAAAACAATGTTACACAATTAGAAAAATTTCATTTTTTAATCACCTTTATAATTTTCATAATCTTCTATTTTATAAATAGGGAATAGTGCCTACCAGGCAGCTGGATCGAAAACAGTGAATGTTTATTTCCCTAAAAATGAGGCTGTCACTTTTGACCAAGCAAACCCTACACAAATATTAGGTAAGTCTGTTTCAATTAACATTCTCACTCATAGACTGTTGTAGATTTTCTTCTGTCTATCAGAAGTTGGGTACTTAAATGAATAGAGACTTCTAATGTGGTGTTACATAGCTGTGCTAACTGCAAATATACAATCTAGTAATGCGACTTAGTAATGTACCCATAATACATTGTAAGAAGAAGCCTTAGACAATTAAAGGACAGGGCCAGGGATTTAGCTCAGTGTTTCTGCTTCCTGCTTCGCAAGTGCAAGGACCTGAATTTGATCCCCAGTACCAAAAAAAAACAATTATAGAATAAATGATTTGGTGATTTTAATGAAGAAAAAAGTACTAGGGAAAAATATAAATTTCACTTGCTGGCTACCAGTGTTTTCAGAAAAAAATGAGTAAAACATTTGAAAAAGCAAAGAGCTTATCTTTCAAAAATTAGTAGCCCTTAGGAATAATGAAATTCTGCATTAAAAATAAAACTGCTCTACTTTGATGGCTTTCTATTAATTTGTTTTTCTAAAAACAAAGTGATAGAATTTTTGTGGACTAAGAAAAGCTGTCTCTATTTGTTACAAATATCATGGTGACTTATTTGAGATAACATTCACACTGAAGTAAAAGTGAGGGTTTTTGGTCATTATTGTTCATCATATTATCTTTATAAAAGTCACTCAGATTTTCTTAATTTATTTTGGAAAAAGAAAGTATATGTCCATTTTCAGATATTTTAAAACTCTGTTTCTAAGAGATTTCTTGTTTTTGGAATTTCTTAAATAAATTTTGTTTTCAATAGTACGTTAAAATTTTCAGTGCCAAAGAGTAGTGACATAGGTCTATTTATGATTGATAAAAATTTTGAAATGTAGCTGGGCGTGGTGGTACGCGCATGCCTGTAATCCCAGCACTCAGGAGGCTGAGGCAGGAGGATCGCTGTGAGTTCGAGACCAGCCTGGGCTACATAGTGAGTTCCAGGTCAGTCTCAAGTACATAGTGAGAACCTGTCTCAAAAAACCAAAAAAAAAAAAAATTTAAATGTGGGTAGTTTTCTGATAAGTATTTGGGCTTTTTTATTCTTGTAAAGATTTTTCAAGAAATGGTACTAGGTGACTCAAAGTAGTAGAGATGACAAGGATATAGATATTAAAGATAACTGATAAGGTTTGGAGGAAATTTTGAGCATGGAAAAAAGCAATTCTAAGTAAAAATTTTAAATCTGATGTCAAATATGCATATGAAACTAAGTCAAGTTAAATATCAATAGACATTTAAGTCTTCAACTGTTTTTGACAACCATAGAAGTTAACTTAAGTAGACTAAAAAGTTATATGTTTTCATTGGGCACATAGGAGACTGACTTATACTTTGGTTTATATAACATGATGCTGCTTTGAAACTGTTGGAAATGGTCACAGATATACTTTAAAACTTTATTCCAAGGAGAAAGCTTTAGAAATTCTTAGGAAATGACAGGTAAAATAAAAGTGAACACAGTAACCTTTCTTTGACCATGTAGTGTTCTAAAATTTTTACGGTTTTCTTTGAAAACTGCCAAGAAAAGTCTTAATGTTGTGCAGTAGAATATTCTTACCGAAAAATTTGGCTTTTCTATATTATTTAACTAACTATAGATAATTTGGAAGGTTTGGCTTTGGATTCTAGGAAAACTAAAGGAACTTAATGGAACTGCACCTGAAGAGAAGAAATTAACCGAGGATGATTTGGTGCTTCTTGAAAAGATACTTTCTCTAATATGTGACAGTTCTTCAGAAAAACCCACAATCCAGCAACTACAGATTTTGTGGAAAGCTATTAACTGGCCTGAAGGTATAAACATGCTTTAGAATATAATTATAAAGCTCTCGGTATTACTGGTGTTTCTAAACTGAGTTAACGTGGGTAATTCAAATTGGGAAAAACTTTTCTAAAAGGAGTCACTGAATCATGTAATTATAATCTTGTTTTGAGAATCTGAAGGTATAAGTTGAATGTATACCTTTATCTGAAATGCTTGGGACAAGAAGTGGTTTAGATTTGGGGATTTGTCAGATATTGCACTATTTGCATAGTCTGTACCAGTTGATTGTCTTTATTCTGAAAATTCCAAACCAGAATTATCTAAGCACTAAAATCAGACTTCATATTTTCCTAATAGGAATTTTCAACCTGTAATATAAGGTGTGGTTAAAATGTACACTGAACATTCACATTTTAAAAAATTATTATGGTAATAGACACGTTGCCTTTAACCCCCCCAAATACTCCTCCTCGCTTCAAATACACTTTCCCCATCATTCTTTCTTTCTGAAGCATTTCCGAAGTTCTCCTTTGTGACCACACGGTGTGATCAGAAATAATGGTGAATGCTGCTGGCAGGCACCATCTAACAGAAATGCAGGCCAGTGAAGACATACTGTGTCATTGTCTACCTTATTCAATGGATTTGGCACCATGTAACTTTCTGGCCCTTCTACATAGTCGGTATAACCATGAGGTAAACATTTTGTATCAGTTCATCTCATCATGGCCATCACAACAGTACACTAAAGTCTCTCATGAAAGAGGACTTCCAGAACTGCTTCAGAAAGTGGAAAGAGCAGTGGATAAGTGTGTTTGAAACAAAGGGAAGGATTATTTTGAGGAAGTAATGGCAATATGTCTTTTACTATAATAACTTTTAAATTTAAACATTCACTGTATTTTTTCAGTCTTACTTTATGTAATGATTGCCTTACATGCACTCTTTGCATATGTTTTAGAGCTTTTGTGGATCACCTACAATATAATTATATAGCTGTCCAACATACAAGCTGTCCAGAAACACTCTGTGACCTGTTAACCCTAGGTTGCTTGAATTAACAAATATTTGCTGTAAGGGATTTTTTTGTTTTGATTTTTGAGACCAAGTCTTGCTGTCTAGCCCAAGCTTAAATTAAAGATCATCTTGCCTCAGCCTCTAACTGCAGGAATTATAGGCACATGCTACCATGTTCAGCTCCTTTTTTTTTTCCTCAGTACCAGGATCAAACTCAGGGTGATGCACACCTGTAATCCCAGCACTCCAGAGGGAGGCTGAGGCAGGAGGATCGCTGTGAGTTTGAGACCAGCCTGGGCTACATAGTGAGTTCCTGGTTAGTCTCAACTACATAGAGAGACTTTGTCTCAAAAGAAAAAGAAAGGAAGGAAGGAACGAAGAAAAACTCGGGACCTTGCACTTTCGAGACAGGTGCAGTGCCACGCCTCCCTCATTTTTTTTATGTTACTGATTTATTGGACAAAAATTTTTTTTCTACTGAAATGTTCTGTATTGTAGATTTCATTGATTATGTGATGTGTTTATCTCTGTGTTTCCTTCTAATGACAGATTTTTGTTTGTACAAAATATATATATATATATATGTTTTGTGAAGATCCTTAAAAAGGATAGCGCACCCTCCCCTTTATATTATGGAGTACATAATGTTAAGTATACTTACAGTAATAATTAATGAGATCTGAGATTGTCCAGTGCATGTGTTCCAATGGGATCTACCCAGGCCATTGACTATAAAGCTCCCACCAACATAGGAGCATTCTGTCAGCATGCATTAACTGGAATTCTCTAAATAGCTCTCTGTTCCACTCTTTGATCTTGTTACAAGACTTTTTAATGCCAGGTTCCCCACTGCATTCTTTCAGTTCATTATTGCACATGTATTGTATATGTCAGGCTATTTGATTACTTGAGAGTTGCCTTATTTTATAGCATATTTAATGTTATAATAATAAATCCAGTGTATAAATGGTTATATTTTTTATATATGTGTTTTTTCACATTTTCTAAAATGACCATGTGTTAATTTTTTTTAAAGTTTTTAAAAATTTATTTTATTACTATATATCTGTAATACATAATGATCATATTCATCATAGGGAATTTGTACTTGTACCTAATGTCTCTTAATTCTTTATTTCTTATTACCCTCTCCACCCTTCAGCCCTTCTTCCCCTCCCCAATTACAAAAGCTGTGTTTCCTTTTTTTTCCCTTCCATTCTTTTTTTTTTTTAAATCCTTTTACCCTTCCTTCCCTCTCCTCAACCCGCTCCCTTGTGCCTCATCCCATTTGAAAACTTTCTTCTTCTTAATATCCATCATCATTTTTCTCTTTATTTACCCTTTAAGTTTCTCACCTAAGAGGAACAGTGGCATATTTAAACTTGTGTGTCCAACTTATATCATTTATCATGGTCTTGAGGTGCATACATTTACTTAAAAATGAATCAGGTTTATCCTTTATGGCAGAGGAGTACTCCATTGTATATAAATACCACATTTTCTTTATGCATTCATCTGTTAATGAGCATATGGGCTGTTTCCAAGATTTAACTACTATTAAATTGTGCTGCTATCACTGTGGTATGATGCTTTTAACTCTTTCAAGGAGATACTTAGGAGCACAGCTGGTCAGATGGAACTGTTTTTAGTTTTTTGAAATACTTCCACATTTATTTCCCTAGCGGTTTTGCCAACTCATGCGCCCACCATAATGGAGAAGGATTCCTTTTTTCCCACAGCCTCGCCAGCATTTGTTATTGGTTGATTTCTTGATGATAGCCACCTGCCCCCCACCCCCAGGCCCAATGGTAACTTTCTGGAGTGACATGGGATCTTGGTGTTTTTTAATTTGCATTTCTTACATGACCAGTGGTGTTGAATATTTTTCGTATGTTTATTTGCTATTTGTACTTCTTCATCTAATAAAGGTCTGTTTATTTCAGATGCCCATTTTTGGATTGGGTCTTTACATTTTTTAGTTTATTATATATTCTAGATGTTAGTCCTTTGCCTGAGGAATGGCTGGTGAAAGTTTTTTCACTTTCTATGCATTGTCTCTTTATTCTGTTGATCCATTCTGATTTTAGTTTAGTGCATGATGAGAGACATGGGTTCAGGCTTAATTTTCAGCATGTTGGAAATCCATTTTTCCCAGCACCATTTATTAAAGAGAGCATCTTTATTCTTCCCTTTGTCAGATATAAGGTAGCTGAGTGTGCTTGGAGAACATTGTTTATACATATCCTATTCTGTTCCATTGATCCTCAGATCTATTTTTTTGCCAATACCATGCTGGTTTTAATCACTGTAGCTTTGTAATATAACTTCAAATTGGAAAATGTAGCGCCTCTTGCCTTGTCTTTTTTTTTTTTTTTTTTTTTTTTTTTTTTTTTTTTTTTTGCGGGGTTCTCTTTTTTTGTAGTTGAGACTGACCTGGAACTCACTATGTAGCCCAGGCTGGTCTCAAACTCACAGCAATCCTCCTGCCTCAGCCTCCCAAGTGCTGGGATTACAGGCGTGCGCCACCACGCCCAGTTTGCCTTGTCCTTTTTGCCCAGAATTGCTTTTGCTATTCTACATCTCTTCTGGTCCCAAATGCATTTTAGGATTGTTTTATCTAGTTCTGTGAGGTATGTTACTGGTATTTTGATTGGGATTGCATTAAATTTGTATAACACTTCTGGAAGTATGGTCAGTTTTATTCTGTTGGCTTTTGCTATCCAAGAACAAGGGATGTCTTTCCATTTTCTGATACCATCTTTGATCTCCTTTTTCAGAGTACAGTAGTTTTCAGTGTAAAGGTCTTTCACTTCTTTGTTAGATTGATTTCTAAATATTTCGTTTTTCTTGATGCTATTGTGAAAGGTGTTGTTTCCCTGATTTCTCTCAGTGAGTTTGTTGTCATGTACAGGAGAATGCTTTTGATTTTTTGAGGGCCAACTTTGTATCCTGCTAAGCTACCAAATTTGATTATTAATTCTAGGAATCTTTTGGTGGATTTTTTTTGGGTCTTCTATGTAGAATATCTTGTCATCAGCAAATAATGATAATTTAACTTCTCCCTTTTTTATCCATATTCCTTTTATTATTATTTTTTTCTCGTCTAATTGCTCTGGCTAATGTTTCTAGAACTTTATTGAATAAGAGTCATGATAGTGAGCATTTTTGTCTTGTTCCTGATTTTAGAGTAAAAGCTTTCAGTTTTTGACCATTTAGTAGGATGGTGTAATTTTAGTATGATGATGTGTCAATTTTGTAGAGGGGAAATAACAGCCTTGAAAATTGAGTAAAAGTCATGTTGAATTTTCTAGTTTTCAAAAATTAATTAATTTTTGAATTTTTCTTTTTAATAGACATTGTGTTTCCTGCACTTGACATTCTTCGATTGTCAATTAAGCATCCCAGTGTGAATGAGAACTTCTGCAATGAAAAGGAAGGGGCTCACTTCAGCAGTCATCTTACCAGTCTTCTGAACCCTAAAGGAAAGCCAGCAAACCAGCTGCTTGCTCTCAGGACTTTTTGCAATTGCTTTGTTGGCCAGGCAGGGCAGAAGCTCATGATGTCCCAGAGGGAATCACTAATTTCCCATGCAATAGAACTGAAATCAGGGAACAATAAGAACATTCATATTGCTCTGGCTACGCTGACCTTGAACTATTCTGTTTGTTTTCATAAAGACCGTAACATTGAAGGAAAAGCTCAATGTTTGTCAGTAATTAGCACAATCTTGGAAGTTGTACAAGACCTGGAAGCCACTTTTAGACTTCTTGTGGCTCTTGGGACACTGATCAGTGATGATTCCAATGCTGTACAGTTAGCCAAATCTTTAGGTGTCGATTCACAAATAAAAAAGTATGCCTCGGTATCAGAACCAGCTAAAGTAAGTGAATGCTGTAGATTTATCCTAAATTTGCTGTAGCAATGGAGAGAGAGACTTGAGGTTAGTTCAGTTTTGGGTTTTTTTGCCTGCATTTTACATGACTGATTACAGGTAATAAAAAGAAAAGGAATACTGTAGATTAAGTACAATTTCAGATCCTGTAAAATGGTGGGGTGGGGGAAAACGGAGAAATAAAATTTTTGCACTAACGAACTGTGAAATTTTCCTGTGTAATGTGGGTAGGTTTTCAAGGGCTTGGAAACAAATTAGAACTATAGTCAACAACACAACTCCAAGGGTATTTTCTACCTTCGTGTAGCCACTCAGGAGAGCATAGTGCCATCTTTTCTATATCTGGCTTTTGCTGCTTCTGTACACCAAATTCCTAGCTGTTGATGGCTTTTATTTAATTTCTGTGCTTTCATTGTTGAATTTTTTAACATCCTGGACATGTTTCCAGGTCTTATGATTTACTTTAAAATTTTTTTAAATTATAATTTTCTTACAAATTTTTTGTGTATTGAAAAGATATCGAATAAGTCATTTGTAAATAAAAAATGTTTGACATTTTTAGATGAAAAAAAATTAGCTGTTAAATCATATGTCAATTCAGACAAGGCCTCAAATTAATTACAGGCTCCGTCTAGTTTTTTTTCCCCTTGACTATTTGAGATTTCATTTTTCACTTCAGTTTTGATATTCAGTCATTTATTTTATTTTTTGCTTTTGCTACCAGAGACTGAACTCAGGACCTAGCGCTTGCGAGGCAGGCGGCAGCACCACTGAGCTAAATCCGTGGCCCTTCAGTTATTTATTTTTGGTCATTGTAATTATTTCAAAGGGAATTTGGACCATGTTCAGTTTTATTAGGAAATTATGAAAGCAAGCATATATCAAACTATATTGTTTAAACATCTAGACTCTCCTATAAAATTTGTTTTATTTTTCATTTTTGTTTTTTTTGGTACCAGGGATTGAACTTGGAACCTTGCGCTTGTGAGGCAGGTGGCAGCACCACTGAGCTAAATCTCTGGCCCTAAAGTTAGTATTTTTGAGCCCACTCTACGGTACCAGCAGTATACTGTACAAGTTGACATTTCATTTTCAAACTTCTTTAAATGATGTGATATCCCTGTTTTGAAAACTGTAAATAGTGCAATGAATTAATAAGAGTAGAAAAGAAAAATGACACCAAGAATGTGTCATTAACTGCTCAAAGGTTATATAGCTTGCCTTGTTACAGCTTCCTAGAGAGGAGGTCACAGTTAAGAAGAAACCATCTATTATGTAATTTATTTGCATCCAATTTCTTAAGCATTGTAAGTATTTCCTCTATTTTAAGCAGGTAGTGAAGGGTGGGGATTGAACCTAGGGAGTGTTGAGCAATATCTTCGGCTCTTTTGAGACAGTCTTGCTAAATTGCCCAGGCTGGTCTCCAAGTGGCAATCCTCCAGCCTCAGCCTCCTTAGTAGCTGAGATAGTTATCCACAGCCATGCCTGTGAAGTATTTTTAAAGTGGGAGAAATCTTTTCACAAAGATGATGATATTGCCAAAAATGTTGAGCAACATTCTCAACATTGATGGTATGAGGAAATCCATGAGGTTTCCCATTTAATGTTGAATTACAGTTTAAGGACAGGGCCAGGGTGCTGCCACCTGCCTTGCAAGCACAAGGTCCCAAGTTAGATCCCTGGTACCAAAAAAAAAGGGACAGTTGTTTTTTTCTATAGGGGAAATTAGAAATCATTCTGATTGTCTATATTAACCCAAGGGAAAGCTTATGGGATATCAGAAGTGAATGAGTAAAATGTAAATACTGTGGGCATGTACCATGCCAAGTATTAAATTGTAAATTCTCTTGTGCACCTGGACTCTAGATATTCACTTAATGTGTGCTTTATTTTTTGCTGAAGTGAGATTTAGATTGTTACATCGACATTGAATGGCCAAACTAAATTTAACTCAGGTCACTCTGGTTCAGTTACAATACACTGCTTTCTTGTTACTGTGTGCATTCTAGCTTGCAATTGTTAAGTACAATTTACCTGCAATATTTTAGAAAACTAGGTACCTTTGAATGGTTAGGCATAGTCTTTTCTAAAGAATATTAGTTCCTCTTCAAAATGTAAAGGGTGGCTAATTGTAAACACTCTTTGCTTTTTAATCACTGTTTAAGTTTTTATACCAACTTTTATCATTTCATGTTTGTACAGTTTAACAAAACTGAAGTCTATTACTTGAAGTCTGATTGTTAAATAGGGGTTTGATATTTCAAAGATTTTTTTAATTTATATTTTTCTATGACTGAATATATTTTTTCTGAATGTAAAAAAATAAACATTCTTTGAATGAAGCATACACACACATGTACACACACCCCCACACCAAATAAAAATTGCCTATAATCTCACGATAGAATCATTCTTCACATCTTAGGGGATATTGATTATGTTTGCACATGTGTTTTTATTTTTTTAAAAAAGGATTGTGCCACCCACTGTTCAGTAACAATTTTAAAACTTAATCGTTTCACTTTAATAAGCAATACATCATTATATGAATATCCCCATTTCCCATTATCTGACACTTTTACACTTTTTGGCTCCTAAACAATGCTATGACAAATCCCACAAGTCTTACTAGTTCTACATGTTTTGCACATGAAATTGGTACATCAAGTTAGTGGAATTTTTTACACGGATACTGTGGCTAAATGGAATTAGTGTCCTTCACACTGCTTGTGAAACCCATTGCCTGCAAATGGGCTTGTTTTCCATCTAAGTTTAATAGCTATTTTCACTTTTTAGATGAATATGTTGTAGTTTTCTTATATGAATAGCTGGTTTGACAATAGCAATATGTGAGTATACAACTGATTAAATTTTGTTTTTAAAAAATTTTTATAAGTACATATTTACAGTATATAATGGTTACATGTACTTGAGAAGTTGGTACATGTACATAGCCTTTTTTTTTTCTTGGTACCAAGGATTGAACTTGGGTCTTTATGCTTGCAAGGCAGGCGGCAGAACCACTGAGCTAAATCCCTGGCCCTACATAGCCTTTTTTTAAGCACATATTGGTACATGCACAGGACATAACTTAATTCTTTTAACTTTCCATCTCTTGGTCCTCTATTCACTTGTAAACACCCATCTCCCTGTTTTCTATTACATTATCTTCCTCTTTATATGTTGTGTTTCTTAACTAAGAGAGACCATGTGATATTTAAACTTACGTGTTTGATTATTTCACTTAACATTATGGTTTCAAAGCACATACATTTTTCTTTTTTAAAAAAGTCAAATTTATCCTTTATAGCACAGTTGTATTCCATTATGTATTAATACCACATTTTCTTTTTCCTTCATCTGTTAAAGGATATATAGGCCACTTCCAAGAGTTAGTTATGAATCACATTGCTATAAACACAGGTATGCATATGTCACTGTAATATGATGTCTTTAACTCGGGAAGATACTGAGAAGGGAAATCACTGGGTTGAATGGAATTTAAAATTTTAGTATTTTGAAGAATCTCTGTACTGATTTCTACAATGGTTGGACTAGTTTACATTCCCACCAACAATGGTTCCTTTTTCCCCCACAGCCTATCCAGCGTTTGTTATTTGATTCTGGAAGATGTCATTTTAGTGTGTAATTTGCACTTCTCTAATGACCAGAGATATTGAACATTTTTTCATGAATTTATTGGCCATTTGTGCATCTTCTGAGAAATGTTTGTTTAGGTTGCTCAGTTTTTTATTGGGTTTTTTATTTGGGTGATTAATGTCTTTGAGTTCTTTATATAATCTAGATACTAATCCTCTCACCAAGGTGCAGATGGCAAAATTTCCAATTATGTAAGTTGTTTCTTCACTTTTGATTGTTTCTTTTGCTATTTAACATCTTTCTTCTGTTTTCATCCCATTGTCTTGCTCTCCTACCTCCCTTCCTCCATCTCTTGGTCCCCTTCCCTTTTGCTAAATTTTTTTCTCTTTATGATCTTTATAAATGATGGAAGAAGCATCGCTAAAAACATTGTTTTCAAAGACAATTCTGGGGCTAAGAATGGGAGGTAGGTTTTTTAGCAGTTACTACTTTGTATCTTACTGTTATTTTGTGAGGAAATAACAAAATGAACCATTGGCCATATTCTGTTCTTATAGAGTTCTTGAGAGATAAATTACCCATTTGATAATAAATAATCTTTTTAGAAAGTAATTTTAATCTGATTTCTAATGCATTTTTATGTGCAGTGTAGGAATTATAAATACAATTTTGAAGACAACCTTTTTTTGTAAGTTGAAAATATCCATAGTAAAAAATGTATTTGATACTCTAAATTTACTGAATATCATATCTTAGCAACACAACACACCGTAGGGTGTTAGTTATTTATACTCATGATTGTGTGGCTGACCAGGCTGTAGCTCACTGCCACTGACCTGCATCATGAGGATTATCTTTCCATGTATTCTTAGCCTGTGAAGAGTTCAGAATTTGAAGTAGGGTTTCTACTAAATGCATATTGTTTTCACACCATTATGAAGTAAAAAATTTCAAATTGAATCATTGTAATTCAGGGACTGTCTATAGATTCTACAAATGTTAATATTTTGCCATAAGTCTGTTCCCTATTTTCTGAAATTACTTAAAAATGCAAGTCGGAGATATCACATTGATTAAGTATTTCAATATGCACCTTATAATATGCACAACATACATTGGTACAAGATAAACATTCCCGATCCAGAAGGGAGGAATATGAGGCTCGACACCAGTGGAACTAAAGTGAGAGTGAAACCCAGCAAGACAAACATTAAAAACCGCAGCTCCGTGTCCGGCAGCTAGGGCAAGCCGTGGTAAGGTGAGAAGTCCGAAGGTGTTAGGTGGCCTCATCTCGAGTTGCTGATGGTTCCTGCAGCTCTCGTTGATCGGTCTTGGGCTGGCTTTGCTCATCCCCTGTAGTTTTCGTCGGACATTCCACATTCCGGCTCCTGGGATTTCCTGCATCTCCATTTCACTTTTGCTTCACTGTCACAGCTTCACGCACAGCCTGCTCGGGGTGAACTGCCTGGCTCCGGGCCTTTTTCTGAAATTTTGGTGAAAGCTTCCTTGGCCCCACAACTTGCATTTTGCAGACCCATAAACCCTTCCAGGCCATGTCCGTAGTGTCCTACTGCTTCTGACCAGACCCCACCTCATGTTATCTATAAGCCCCCATATCCCAGTCATAATCATCTCCAAGAGCCTCACCCAAAGCACATGAGGCTTTGGGGTACATGTTAGATCTAAACTATAACAGGGTCCAAAGTTGTGCTCTTGTTCGTTTGTTTGTTTTGAGGCAGGGTCTCACTACGTAGTTGAGACTGACCTGGAACTCACTATATAGCCCAGGCTGGTCTCAAACTCACAGCGAT